GATCATTTAGTGACTTATTTCAGTTCAGGAAAATAAAGTATATAATCTTGAGATCCACTTTGAATTCTTTGTAGGCCAGATCTAAGTCATCTTTTGCTTTGGTCCTTATAAAATTAAGTCACTCAGTGTGAATTGCTTAAGTAGTACTCCCCCTTTCCTTCCTTCTTCCCTCCTTTTCTTCGTTCTTTTTTACTTCTAATAACATCTGTTCTTTTTGTTCTGTGGAAATGTCAATGCTGAATATGTCCACTGAACTCTACAGCCTGGCTTTTTTTTTTTCTTTTTCTTATAAGGGTATCCTTATGTTAGACTCGTCTAGAAGAGTTTGCTACCTTATTTATATATATATATATATGTAAAGGAACTCGCACTTGTTGATGTAGATAATGCATAGAAAGTCAGCAGCTTATGCCTGAGCTTAGCATCTAAAAATTAAGGGAATTTTCTGTAGGAAGGCCTTTGAAATTCCTGCTGGGCCATAAAGATTTAATATTTACACTTGCCCTTTATATTCAAATGGAGATTGTTATTCTGTATTCTTTATAATAAAGGAGAGTATCTGATGGGTAAATAGAGCATGTTCTGGAGTATGCTATAAGCAAGTAATTTAATTTAAGAATCTTGTCTTGTTTCAGTTGCCCATTGGACGTCAGTGTGTCAATCATTACCGACGGCTAAGGCGCCATTGTGTCTTTTCACACGAGGAACTCATTTTCAAAATGGCGGCAGATCCAGAATGCTTAGATGTGGGGCTGGCTGCCATGGTGTGCAAAGAATTGACTCTCATGACTGAAGAAGAGACACGATTAAGGGAGTCTGTTGTACAAATGGTGAGTTTGCCGAGCACGTTTCCTGTATTTGATATTGCTTATGGAATGTAAAAAAATTAAACCTATAAAAGAATTCATTTTCATCTTTGATCCCTTTAGAAGTTGAACACAAAAATCACTAGTTTGGAAAAGGTTTCATATTTTTATACTTGCTATTTTGGTTTCTTCAAGTTGAAAAAGTTTTAAGAATCTTGATATCTCTTTTTAAAAAATGGAATCCTATCAGATAGAATTTCTGAGGTATATATTTATTTTTTAAAAAGTTTTCTACATATAGTATTATTTCTTTAAACAAGAAAGTTCAAATTCTTCCTTTCTCTCTGAGCTTTGTAATTGAATGAAAGTTATATTTCTGATGATTACAGACTGTCATAGTGAATTAATCTGGCTTTTTCCCCCTTCAGAGAAATTTAATGAGTAGGAAGGACTGAATAACCAGGGTTGGGATTTTAAATGCTTAGAATACACTAAACATTTATCACATTGAAATGGGAATTAATATGCGAAAACCTATGTCTTCACCCTCATCTTGGCCCATTCTCAATAACCCTCTCTACATAGTTAGCCTAGCCCCACTGGATTTGTACCATGCTCCCTTCTGCTCTTGTATAGTCTACTTTCTCTACTTAGATATTATGTTTGTACTTTTTAAACAGCTGTGTTGGGGTATAATTGACATAAACAACATATGTCTATAGTGTATAATTGATATAAATACCCATGAAACCTTTGTCATAATCAAGATAATGAACATATCACATTCAGAAGTTCTTTTTTTAATTATTATTATTATTGTTATTAAGGAGGGTGCAGCTCACAGTGGCCCATGTGGGGATCAAACTGGCAACCTTGGTGTTACTAGCACCACACTGTAACCAACTGAGCTTACCAGCCATCCTCAAAAGTTTTCTTGGGGGCCGGCTGAGTGTCGCGTTGGTTAAGAGCTGGCTTGGGTCGCCAGCTCTGAACAGCAGGACCCCAGTTCAGATCCCACATGAGGGCCAGTGACACTGTGCCCTCTACAGCTAAGATGCTGAACAACAGCTCAACCTGGAGCTGGGCTGCCGTGAGTTGCCGGCGACGGTGTAGGCTGCAGCCCCTGCTGCAGTGGGCTTCCATAAGCTACCGTGTGTGGCTGGCAGCCGGTGTGAGCTGCCATGAGAGGTCAGCAACCAATCTGCCTCACCTGGGAAGAGTGCAATGATAATACCAACATGGGCCAGTGAAGCAACGTCCTTCACAACTAGACTGACGAACAAAATGACAGCAACTTGTCTGTTCCCCTCCCCCAATTCCCCAATAAAATCTTAAAAAAAAAAAAAAAGTTTTCTTATGCCCCTTTGTGATCCTTCCCTCCTGTCCCATCTCACCCCCCCTCCTGTCCCATCTCACCCCAGGAAAACACTAATCTACATTCTTCAGTTTGCTTTTTTTAAAAAAGCATTTTATCTAAATTGAATTATATACAACTTACACTTTTTTGTCTAGTTTCTTTCACTTAGCATAATTACTTGAGATTCATCCATGTTGTTGCATGTATTAATAATTTACTTCTCTTTGTTTGCCAAGTAGTATTACATTGAATAGACATACCAAAGGTACACTGATGGCAAATAAGCATATAAAAAAATGCTCCACATCATATGTCATCAGGGAAATACAAATTAAAACATCAGTGAGATACCATTACATACCTATTAGAATGGCCAAAATCCAAAACACTAAGAATACCAAATCCTGGTGAGGATGTGGAGCAACAGAAGTGGTCATTCAGGGGCGCCAGTTAACTCAGTTGGTTAGAGCGCAGTGCTCATAACACCAAGGTTGCCAGTTCGATCCCTACATGGACCACTGAGTTGTGCCCTCCACAACTAGATTGAAACAACTGCTTGACTTGGAGCTGATGGGTCCTGGAAAAATACACTGTTCCCCAATTAAAAAAAAAAAGGAAAAAAAGAAAGAAATCCTCACTCATTGCTGGTGGAAATGCAAAATGGTACCACCACTTTGGAAGACAGTGTGGCAGTTTCTTACAAAACTGAACATACTCTCAGTATACAATCCTGCAATTGTACGCCTTGGTATTTATCCAAAAGAGTTGAAAAATTATGTTCACACAAAAACTAGACACAGATATGTATAGCAGCTTTATTCATAATTGCCAAAACTTGGAAGCACCCAGATGTCCATCAGTAGGTAAATGGTTAAATAAACTGTGGTGCATCCAATGGAATATTATTCAGTGCCAAAAAGAAATGAGCTATTAAGCCGTGAAAAGACATGGAGGAAACTTAAAAGTATATTACTAATTGAAAAAATATAATCTGAAAAGGCTACATACTGCACTATTTCAACTACATGACATTCTGGAAAAGGCAAAACTATAGACAGTAAAAAGATCAGTGTTTGCCAGGGGTTTGGGGGGGTGGGGTGGGAGTGCTTTGTGGGAGAGAGGATGACTAGGCGGAACACGGGCATTTGAAGGAGGTGAAAACACTCTATGATACCATAATGATGGATACATGTCATTACATATTCATACAAACCCACAGAATGTAAAACACCAAGAGTGAACCATAATACAGACTTTGGGTGATTATGATGTGCCAAATGATGGTTCATCAATTGTAACAAATATATCAACCACTCTGGTAGGGGATGTTGATAATGTAGGAGGCTATGCATGTGTTATGGGGGCAGAAGATATATATATAGGAAATCTCTGTGCCTTCCATTCATTTTGCTGTGAACCTTAAACTACCCTTAAAAAGTGTGGTATAATAGATATAGACCTATTCAGATTAGGTTTCTTTTGTGAGTTTTGACAGCTTGTGTCTTTCAAGGGATTGATCCATTTCACCTAGGTTATGCTATTTGTGGGCATAGAGTTTATAGAATTCCTTTATTTTAATGGCCATGGGATCTGTAGTGATGTCCCCTTTTTCATTTCTGTTCTTAGAATTCATGTCCTCTTTCTTTTTTTCTTAGCCTGGCTAGAGGCTTGTCAATTTTATTAAATTTTTCAAAGATAGCTTTTGGTTTCATTGATTTTTCTCTGTTGAGTTCCTATTTTCAGTTTCATTGATTTTTTTGCTTCTCAAATTCGCTTGTTTTTTTTCTTCTGCTTACTTTGAATTTAATTTGCTCTATTTTTTTTTAAGTTTCCTAAAGTTGAAACTTAGATTATCCATTTTATATGTTTATGTACACTGGGATTCTTTTACCCTTTGCCTGTAGTATTTTGAAGTTTGAAATTTAAGTACATTGGTAGGGACTCATGCATAAGTTTCTGTGGCATAGTCTTATATTTTAGATTTAACTTGTGTCATTAATAGGGCGTTATTTTTCCTTTTCTGTAATAATTTGAATGTCACATACCCTGTTCATCTTACATCCTGTGATCAAATTTCTCTATGGAGTCTTTCCCTTTAAACTTACCTTCTTCCTGTGCCCTTGTTTCCCGATACTTATCTCTGCCCTTTCTTTGCATTATATACTAGTCTTTATTATCTTGAGAAAAGATTCAATTTTTCTCTCTTCCTGAAAAACTTGAGTGGGTTTTCTGTGGACGGTGCCTTCATATCCTCTTTATCCCTTCATCATCACTGTCATTCTGAAACTCCATGTTTGCTAGTGACAGCTTTATTGCCAAGTCCAGTTGTTGCCTGTCTCCTTTCCCCATGACCTCTGTATTGCACCATATAGTGCTTCTTTGGTTTCTTTCTTTAACTCTTGCTCTACTGTTTCTTCAACCTCTGGTAACACTCATTAATCACTTCTAGTTATCATTTTGCTCCTTTTCCTCACCTGCTGGTATTTGTAGGGTTCAGCCCTTGACCTTTGTTTTCCTTTTGTGCTACTTTTCAAGGGATTCTTTTTTTTTTTTTTTAAAGATTTTTATTGGGGAATTGGGGGGATGGGAACAGCGGTGGGGAATTGGGGGAAGGGGAACAGACAAGTTGCTGTCGTTTTGTTCTTCAGTCTAGTTGTGGAGGACGTTGCTTCACTGGCCCAAGTTGGTATTATCATTGCGCTCTTCCCGGGCGAGGCAGATCAGTCACCGGCTTCTGGACGGCCGCTCACTGCGGCTGCTGGCCGCTCCTGCTGGCCGCTGGCCACACACGGCAGCCCATGGCAACCCACTGCAGCAGGAGCTGCAGCCTACACCGTCGCCGGCGACTCAGGGCAACCCAGCTCCAGGTCGAGCTGTTGTTCAGCATCCTAGCTGTAGAGGGCAGCGTCACTGGCCCTCACATGCGGGATCCGAACCGGGGCCCTCTGGCATCCCAAGCCAGCTCTCAACCATCGCGCCACTCAGCCGGCCCTTCAAGGGATTCTTAAGCGATTCTTAGGATTTTGACTTTCAGCTATTATCTTGTAGCTTCAGTCCTCACCTCTTGATGTTTCTTCTTATTTGATGCAAACACCGGAATTATTGTCATTTTGAAAGAGGTGATATGTCCAGTCACCCATTTATAATCTGCCTCTCCATGTGATTACTGTACATTTCTATTTAGATTTTTGTCATCTCAGTTTCAGTATCTAAAATAGAATATCATCTTTTCTCCCTCAACCCTTTTACAAACCTCTTTGCTTTTCTAATTTCCTAAGTGCCAAGACCATTATGTAAAAACTTCATGTGATCCTTGATTCATTCATCTCCTTTATAGTCATCTGTTACCTGGTTTTAAGTTTTAGGTTTTTTATTTTTGCAGTGTCTCATCACTCTCCCATCCTCCCCTTTTCCTTTATTGCTGCCATTCTGTCCTAGACCTTCATTTTCTCACCTGGATTATTTCAAATACCTTTTAATTTGTATCTCTAACTTTTTCTCTCTCCATTCCCTCCTGATAATTTATGATTTTCCAAAGTGCATTCTCAGTAATATAAGCTATATAATACGTTAGAAGGCATTATAAGGAAAAACTATTCTGTGATCAAGTTTCGGAAATGGTGGGTTAAGAGAAAACTAAATGGGATTCTTTCCTGTAAAATGCTGATCCTTTAATAGGCTGGTGTTTATTGCTAATCTCTAAGTTAGGAGGGATATAATACATAGCATTTCCCCAAAAAGAATGTATTTCTTTATTTTTTTTGTAGAATATTTTTCAGGACTAGTAGTCCTTGGGGTACACTTTGGAAATGATATAAAATTTCTTGAAGCAGTCAGGACTATTAGCTGATGATGCATTAGTACCCCTGTTTGCTAACTACTCTAAAGCTGTGTAAATTCTTAAAATCTAAGAAATACCTTCAGTGCATTTTGGAATGGTTCTTGCATAAAAATAATTTTTAAAGAAAATATTAAATGTTTGTATGAGAAAATGGAAAGATGTGAGTGTAACAAGGAGACATCTAAATTAAACTAATATCAAAAACAGAATATATGTTGAAAGAACTGGATTGTGCCTGCCAGTGAATAAATTATGAAGTTCCCACCTTAAGTGAAAAAAGTTTGCTCTCACAGTGGAATTAGATTTGTAAGTACCTTGCTCAAGTAAGTTGAAGCTGTAAAGGGAGCCCTTGTGTATTAAAGGCAGTCTTTGTAAAATGCCACTTCAAATGCTCTTCTTTTCTAAAACTGGCATACTGAATTTGATTGACTTCCTTTTTGATGCTTTGCTGAAGTAGATTATATATATATAAAATATATATATTTTTTTAAGATTTTTATTGGGGAATTGGGGGGATGGGAACAGTGCTGGGGAATTGGGGGAAGGGGAACAGACAAGTTGCTGTCGTTTTTGTTCTTCAGTCTAGTTGTGGAGGACGTTGCTTCACTGGCCCAAGTTGGCACCATCATTGCGCTCTTCCCGGGTGAGGCAGATCAGTCGCCAGCTTCTGGACGGCCGCTCACTGCGGCTGCTGGCCGCTCACGCTGGCTGCTGGCTACACACGATAGCCCATGGCAACCCACTGCCACAGGGACTGCAGCCTACGCCGTCGCCGGCGACTCATGGCAGCCCAGCTCTAGGTCGAGCTGTTGTTGTTCAGCATCTTAGCTGTGGAAGGCAGTGTCACTGGCCCTCATATGTGGGATCCGAACCGTGGCCCTCTGGCATCCCAAGCCAGTTCTTAACCATCGTGCCACTCGGCTGGCCCTGAAGTAGATTATATTTTTATCTGTATGGCTTAAGTAATTTTATACTTCTTTATCCTTGCATATGTTTGTACATATCAGTGTTATTTTCAGATGGTAGCTTACTAATGTATCTGGTTCAAGAGTGTATTATCCCTGGGGAGAGTAATTATTATTATTTCTTACTTTAAAGAAAAGATAATGCCACATAAATATATGGCTTCATGAATTATTATATGGTAAACTTTGTCATCACAATTCTGGTCAAGAAACAGAACTTTGTCAGCCACCCCAAAAGCACCTAATTATAACATCCCTGGCTATTTTAACCTTTGTAATAATAACTTGCTTGCATTTTTTTTTTTTAAGATTTTATTGGGGAATTGGGGAAGGGGAACAGCATTGGGGAAGGGGAACAGACAAGTTGATGTCCTTTTGTTCTTCAGTCTAGTTGTGGAGGATGTTGCTTCACTGGCCCATGTTGGTATTATTATTGCGCTCTTCTGGGTGAGGCATTCGCTCACTGGCCATTGGACGGCGGCTCACAGCAGCTCACAAAAGCACACGCCAGCTGCCGGCTAGCCCCACTGCAGCCTACGCCATCGCCGGTGACCCACGGCAGCGTAGCTCCAGGTTGAGCTGTTGTTCACCATCTTAGCTGTAGAGGGCACAGTGTCACTGGCCCGCATGTGGGATCTGAACTGGGGCCCTGTAGCTCAGACCTGGCGTCCCAAGCCAACTCTTAACCAATGCCCCACTCAGCTGGCCCCTTCCTTGCATTTTAAAAATAGCTGTATCAGTCAGATGTGCATTCTTAAACACCAAGGTTTAACCTTGCCCATTTAAAAAAAATTAGTAATGATTATTTTTAGAAAGTATTTTGTTGATATGCCATTGTATCTCCTATGTTTATATCTTAACTCAGAGATTTACCCATAGGAAAAAATACATAATAAATTGAGTTCATTGATGCTTGAAAGACTGGAAGGACTTGATCTAATGATATACACTGTATTTCAGGGTGTCCTGATGTCAGAAGAGGAAGTGTTTGAACTCGTCCCTGATGATGAGCGGCAGTGCTCAGCATGCAGAACCACATGCTTTCTCTCTGCTCTCACATGCTCCTGTAACCCTGAGCGTCTTGTGTGTCTCTACCATCCGGCGGATCTGTGCCCCTGCCCCATGCAGAAGAAATGTCTTAGGTACCCGGAAGTTTCTCCTGAAACTTGCATTATCTTCTTTTAAACCCAAGTATTGATGCAGCTCTTTGTAAGTCCTTCTTTGTGTCTGGGCTGGTGCCTCCCTGCTCAAGAACCAGCCTTTAAAGTTGGCCCTCAACTTGGCAACAAAAATCAGTTCTTTACCAGTTGATGTCACATCTCCTGTCTCCCCTTGTGTTGGAACTCTGGCTTCTTTGATTTTCTCTTTATGTGTACCAGCACCCCATTCTTCGGGCTGTTGTATTCTCTTTAAGCTGATAGTACTTAAAATTTAATTGACTTTCAAGTTGTCTGTTTTTGAAGTTTTTATTTCCATGTTCTTTGGTTTTTTGTTTTGTTTTTAGATATCGCTACCCATTAGAAGACCTCCCTTCTCTGCTATATGGTGTGAAAGTCAGGGCACAGTCCTATGACACTTGGGTCAGTCGTGTGACAGAAGCATTATCTGCCAACTTCAACCACAAGAAAGGTTAAGTCTCCGGTTGTTTGTGTACACTGGGAATGGTTTTTACTTTGAAAGAGACCTTGTTTTATGTGCTTTCCTCCATTCAGCAAAAATCCTAGGCTTCATCTGAGAGTTGAGACTAGTGGATTAGTTGATTACAGTCTTAATTTTCTATTTGAGAATCTTTTTCTAAGTGAAAAAATCGGTATAAAATAGGACAGATAACTAACTTGCAATAGATACATATTATGGGGAGCCATTGTTACCAATGGACTAACATTAAAGACTTACTAAGATAAATTGCCTTACCTGAGAGACATTGTCTATAAGGAGGAGGAATAAGTACCCAGTTGTAAGCTATTATTGTGTTGGTGAGATTTTCACATCTGCATTGTGTTTTTGCTAATAGGTTGATGACTCACTTGAGAGAGGTTGAAGATTTTTAAGTGACATTTTAAAGTCATCTGTGGTCATAGTATATGGCTTTTTATTTTACAGATTTGATTGAATTACGGGTGATGCTGGAAGATGCTGAGGATAGGAAATACCCGGAGAATGATCTCTTTAGAAAACTCAGGGATGCTGTAAAAGAAGCTGAGACCTGTGCTTCTGTGGCTCAACTGCTTCTGAGCAAAAAGCAGAAACATAGGTAAGACTAAGAAGAGGTTAATTTTTCAATAGTTTCCTGTTTTTTTCAGAGGAAAAGCCAAAATTTTAACTGATCTGTGAAGCCCTACATTATCTTTGACCCCTTGTGGCCATGTCCATCCCTCCTCCAGTAATGCCCTAATTTTATCTTCTGCACCCCTTCTTTCTTGCCCCACTCTGCAGTCCTCTTCCCCATACTGTTCATAGGCACCAGCATTCCTACTTAGGGCCTTCACACGTGCTCTTTGCTCTGCTTGGAGTTCTCTTCCTCTGATAGCCAGGTGGCTTCTTCCCTCACTTCTTTCAAGTCGTTTTCAGATTTCATATTCTTTTCGAGCCCTTCTCTGACAACCCTTTATAAAATTGCAACCTTCTTATTCTTCTTTTCTGCCTTGTTTTTCTGCTAGCCCTGTCACCTTCTGATATACTAATTTACTTATTTATTGTCTGTCCCCTCCTTTCTTTTCTAACCCCACTAGAATGTTTGGTAGACTAGAATGCTATGAATTTTTATCCTCTTATTTCATGGCTATATTTCTTGTTCTTAGTACAATGCCTGGCACATAGTAGGTGTGCAATAAATATTTGTGAATAAATATATAACATTACAGGCTGAGGGCAGGTTATAGCAAAGAGTAACTTTGGATGCAGAGGAAGCTGTTACTAAGGAGTAGAGAAGAATGCGTCCTTGATTTAATGGAATTCATATGTGGTATATTTTCTGTGGTATTGTTTCGTATTCATTCCTTGTATCTGAATGGCTTTTTCTGTAGCAGTTCTATAGGTTTTAAATTACTTTGTGCATTGTGCATTTTTTATCTACCATTTTATCAGAAAACCTTTCTTAGAGACATTGATCAATGAATCTTCACCAGTCATTAGGTCACTGACCCCCTTAGAAATCTGGTGAAAGCTTAGGGACCCTTTTTATATAAATGCACATACAAACAAAATTTTGAATCACTTTCAGAGAGGATTTATTGTCTCCTAAGCCAGGTTAAGTGCTCTTATTCCTCATCTTAAGCTTCTTGAGATAGAGGATTCTGTTTTATCAATGAACTTTTTTTTTTTTTTTACGATTTTTATTGGGGCATTGAGGGAGGGGAACAATGTTGGGGAATTGGGGAAGGGGACCAGTCAAGTTGTTGCTGTTTGATCTTCGTTGCGGAGGGCGCCAGGCTGCCTATCGGCAGCTCATGGCCTCTAAGCTCAAGGTGCTGTTGAACTTAATATTTTACCATGAGGAATTTATTGAATGTTGGAAATATTTAATACTTGTAAGATTGGAAGAACTGTAACTTGGAGAGATGAATCTTTAATCATTAACTAAAGAGCTAAAAACCAAATTTGGAAGTGCGCCGTTGCAGAAGGAGTCCCTCAAACACTAGTATTCTTAGAAGCCCTTTTGATATTAGAATGACCGTGAATTTTTCTTACTTTATGTCTCAATATTATTTTACATCAGGCAGAGCCCTGATAGTGGAAGGACTCGGACCAAACTGACAGTGGAAGAATTGAAGGCCTTTGTCCAACAACTTTTTAGTCTTCCATGTGTCATCAGCCAAGCTCGACAAGTAAAGGTGGAGTATTAACATTCTTTTCTTGTGCAATATCCTTCTTAGTATGGGCTATGGTTTGGGTAAACAGAATAGAGCATCTAGACTAGTTTGTTCTGTTTGTTTCTTTTCTCAAGTGCTGCTATTTAAGTTTTTTTTTAATAGGCAGTAAGAATCTCTTGATTTAATTCTTAACCTTAATCCCCCCTTTAAAATTCTGGAGTTAAGACCAGTTTAGAATTTTATTTTCTATATTAATTTTAGGTCAGAAACCCCATTAAACTTAGATGTAACTGAAACATAAGAAATTAGTTAAAAGAATCTGAATTTATCAGTGAGTTTTTACTTCATGAGCTTTTAAAAAGGCAGAGCGCTAAAATTCCCAGGGCCCTAATGGATTTTTTTGTTGTTGGTTTTTTTAAAGATTTTATTGGGGAATTGGGGGAGGAAATAGTGTTGGGGAATCGGGGGAGGGGAACAAACTTTTGCTGTCCTTTTGTTCTTCAGTCTAGTTGTGGAGGTCATCGCTTCACTGACAGGGCCCTGATGGTTTAATGAATATGTAAAATCCCAAAAGTATATATCAAATATATTAATCTGCACAGTTAGTAATCTTTTGATAGTTTGTGGTGTGTTTTGTGATTTGACGGTGGGTAGGGTATCTAAAATGGTTTTTATCAAGGCTATCAACTTGTGTTTTTGTCTAATTCTGTGTCATAAGAGCATTTTGATTGTTGACCATACTTTCCTTCTTGAGAGATTTTTCTCCTGTAAACACCTATGACACTACACTCTCTGGTTTTCCTATACAATTCCTTATCTTTACTCTTCTTTGCTGATTGTTTTCTCCTTGGATGGAGCCTCAACCTCTTTTTTACTCTTGGTTCTAATATCTTATTTGTCCAGTCACATTAAATATTACCTATATCCTGTTGCATCCCAAATCTCCACTTCTAACTACCTTTCTTCTTTTCTACAGACTTGGACATCTAGTTGTATATGTTTCTCTTTGGCAGACTAAATAAGGCATCTTAAAAGCCTTTTAATGAATCAAAATCTTTGATTTCTTTATTTCCCTTGTACCTTACACCCAATGTCTAGAAACAAGTGCTGCTATTAACTCTAAAATGTTTCCCAAAGTAAATCATTTGTCGTCAACTCCGTTGCTTAAACTGTGTTCTACACCATAGCCTCTTAACTGGTCTCCCTTCTGCTCTTGTCCATGATGGTTTATTTTCATTTAGTAGCCAGAGTGATCATGTGAAATAAAAATCAAATCATGTCACTTCCCCATGGTTAAAAATCCTACAGTAGTTCCCCAAAGCCATTAGAATGAAATCCAAACTTAGGATCTACAGGCACTATGTAATCTGACCTCTGCTTATTCTTCAGCTACGTTTATCCGTTGTCTACTTTGCTCCCCTATCATCCGCTTTGGAGCAAGACACCAAGCTCATTTCTATTTAAAAACTTTTGCAGTTATTATTTACCCTGTCTGAATTGCTCTTTTCGCAAGGTTCTCACTTCTACCTCCTCATTTTTGTTTTGGTTCATCTGTCTTCCAGACAACCATTGCAAAGTAATATGCCCCCCTTCCAGTCATGCTCTATTGTGTTGCCCTATTTCATTTTCATAGCACATAAACTAACATTTTATTCATGTATTCAGGGCCACTTACATTGAAATGTGTGTTCCTTGAAGACAAGGACTTTGTATGTTTTGTTTGATACTGTGTCCCTAGACCAGTGCCTGCCTGCATCTAAGTCAGCAGTCATTAAATATTTTTAAATTAATCATATTTTAAAAGTAGGTCTGTAAGTCATTACAGAGAAGCATATTTATGCCCTTAACTATCATATCTATTTGGTTCTATGATGGTTAGATTATTAAATGGTCTAGAATTGGATAGGTTTGCCTATCAAAACTGTGTCTATTCTGTTACCTATCAAATATATCTATTACATACTCATTTTGTGTCTTTTAAATTTACTTTTTATTTTTATTCTTTTAACCTTTTCAGAATCTGCTTGATGATGTGGAAGAGTTTCACGAACGTGCACAAGATGCCATGATGGATGAAACCCCAGATTCTTCCAAACTCCAGCTGTTGATAGATATGGGCTCTAGTCTCTATGTGGAGTTACCTGAATTAGCCCGACTAAAGCAAGAGCTACAACAGGCTCGATGGTTGGATGAAGTAAGACTGACTCTGTCAGATCCACAGCAAGTCACTTTGGATGTCATGAAGAAATTGATAGACTCTGGTGTGGGGTTGGCACCCCACCATGCTGTGGAGAAGGCCATGGCTGAACTGCAGGAGCTCCTTACAGTCTCGGAGCGATGGGAGGAAAAGGCGAAGGTCTGCCTCCAGGCAAGGTGAACACATATATTGGTGACTGTTGCCTCTTTAATAACTAAGTCAGAGAGTAGATGGGAGGAGGAACAGAAGGGTCTGTTTCATTAAGTATTTAATTAAATGTTTTTGCCTTCTCTGAGCAATCACTAAGTTATCAAATGAGTCTGCATATAGACAGTTTCAAATCTTATGTGCATATTGTATGCACAGTACTTTGTTAGATCCTTTTAAGTGATACTAGGTAGTATTTTGTTTAGAGTGTTCTATTACTGATATTATTGCTAGGAACTAAGAAAAATAAAGCTCATTACAGTGTGTTATTAACCGAGAGGTACAGAAAAGTTCTATAGGAATTCAGAAGAGGAGAGATCATTGTTAGCTTGGGTGGTCAGAGGAGAAGCTTGAGAGAAAAGTAATAACTTAGGTAGAGCCTTGAAGAATGAGTAGGATTGAAGTGGGAAGGGAGATAAGAGAAATGTCATAAGCTCAGTTTAAGGACTACTTAGGGCGTATTCATGTGACAAGTTAAATGGGCTTGATGGGAGCGGAGGAGTCATGCAGGAAAGTAATGAGAGACAAACATAAGGCATGTTAAGCATTTGCCTTGGCATTAGCACCCCATTGGATTTCTGAGTTGTAAGTAAAGCATTCATCAGATTTGACTGCACGTATATCAACTAATTTGACTGTAATATTTTCAGCAGCTAAGATTAATATTTATATAATTTCTATTGTGAGGATGAGGAAACTGAGATGCTTATAGAGATCACATAGTTATTAAATAACACAGCTCAAATTTAAAGCCTTTTCCATTTTATTCCAGAGTCTCCATGTACTTATTTTGAATGGATTTTGGTGGAGGGGGGGGATTTTTAGATGATTTAATCAGCATAGTCCTGCTCTGCCACGAAAAGACTCCATGTCTACTGGGTATTGTTCTCTAGATGCTATGGAGAATACATACTATACTTATTCATAGCTTCCTATCCAAAACATTCAGATTACTCTGTCTTCAGATTCATGACAATTAATTCCAGGAGGTGGGAGCATATTAAATGGGAAAAACTAAATAACTGGAGTGCAAAACAATGATTTGGTATATCTGATGCAACTGATCATAGTCTACTGAATGAAACTTTTTGGTAGTAATATTTGAAAACTTTTTTCCATTTTCCTACATTTAATTTAGTCACCAAGTTTGGGTGTTTTTGTCTCCAAAAATGTCTTTCATATCTATCGTCTTTAATTCCATTGTCACTGACCTGGTTATAATACTCACCTTTTCCCTTGACTTTCACAATTCAGTATTTACAAAGTAACTACCTAATGCCAGGCATTAATTCTAAGCGCTTTGGAGACATCGGGGGAAAAGATAGACAGCGTCCCTGCTTTAAAATATTAGAACCAACATCCTAGTGGGGAGAGATAGTTGCGTAAGTGAAGGAATGAATAAATTTCAAATATTTAGTGTCATGAAGAAAATAAAATTTGTAAAGAAGTAGAGGGTGATGGCATTGGTGGGTATAGTGGGAAGTAGAGTCTTCCCCTAGTCTAACTCCTGCCAAAATTACCTTTCTGAAACACATCTTTAATGTTCTTCATCTCTTAGCGTTGGTTAACTGCTGACCATTGTTTTCTTGATATTCTCCTCCTTTGCCTTTGATCTTCTCTCTCTGACTTTTTTTTTTTTT